TATTAAAATTAAAGACTCCCAGTGATAATGCTGTCCACTCATATTTTGTTTCAAATTGTTTGCCTTGGTCGTGATTTGCTGTTTTTCATTTTCTACAGAGTCATTTATTTATTTATATTTTTTTAGTTTTTTTGGGGGGGGACAAGAGGGGTGAACATGATCCCTCCTTGTCATTCAAGTGAGAATTCAGAGTTGGATCTGTAATTCTGGTCTGCATTCGTGAGCACTTCTCCGTGGCAATTAGGAGCCCATTACAAGCCATTAGATTGATCAATGTACCTTAAACAATGGGAGTGATTTATTTGGTCGAACAAAACGCTCYGCGTCTATTGTGATGAGTCTAAGTGGGGGTGCATTCATCAACAAAAGATAAATGATTAATTCARAGCTGTTCATTTCAGATTCTTCCCGACAAAGCGCACGCCCTCTTGCACTTGCTTGAAAATCCAGATTATTGGAGCCTCATTTTCTGCATGTTAAACCAGACAGGGGCTGCAGGATTGGCCGGGGGGGGGGGCTTTCTGGTTGTGCCCCTGTGCGTTTTAATACGTGCGTCTGCAGAGGGAAGTTTATTTGAGGATGTTTAACTAATTGTTGTAATTTCCGTGCGCTCATGTGGCTACACCTGTTTCTCTCCAAAGGGGGTTCAGAGCAAACTATGTGTGAAAGGATGCTGTGCGCCTGTGTGGCAGTGGAGCTCCACTTGGATCAGAGAAGGTAAAAAATAAATAAATGAAAAACTGGGAAGAGGAGCAAGAGATAAAGACTTCTTTAGTTAACAGTTCTGTTATGCTTTTTACTCTCTTGAAATAAGTTTCCCACGTTTTTCCTGTATTTTAGAAAAAAATTGATTCAACCTTCTTCAAGGTGTAAACTGAAATACATCATAAAACAATAAGTACTCACGGCTGTAAAACAAGACGCCATAGCAAGCACTGTTCAACCTGCCAGCACTGATTTGCAGACATCATCAGATTCAGGACCGGTTGAATAAATGTCAGCATAAAGCGCACAATCCAGTCAAACCTCTGACAGGACTTAAGTGAGCTTTAATACACGCAGACGCTCATTAACCTCGCTAATACTACCCACAGCTAAATTTGAAGGTGCAGGTCAGCTCGCCGTGCAGCTCACAGTGTCAACTTACATTTCCAGAAGCTGCATAGWCTATTTTGAGCCCACAGCAGAGAGCGTGCGAGCTGAAGTGCAGCCGGCTGCTCACATTTGAGGACTTATCTTCTGCTTTCTTTCCTTACAAATGAATGCATGCTGCTTAAATTTCAGATAGAAATAGAGTCAGAGTTGAGTGAGAAGCATGGCTCCGAAAAAGGTGTGTTTTTTGTAAAATGAAAGGGTATTTTAAGCATTGTGGGTCATATAGAATAGAAAGTGTTGAAACTGGCTGAAGATGTTTACATTTTCTCTTCATTAGGGCAAAGATGACRTACCAAAGCCTCCGCCACTGATTGGAAGGTTTGGCACTTCGCTGAAGATAGGAATTGTGGGCCTTCCTAATGTTGGGTAAGTTTGTGGTTTCCCTCTATATCAGTTATTTCTATGATCGGATGCATTGCCCTTTTTTCCACTAATTTATGTAAAGCAGGATGTGAACCAACTTTAATAAAGCTTCTTCAACATGAAACTTTTTTCCACTTTGTTACTGTCACATTGCTAGTTTAAAGAAGAAAACTGCACTTTTTAACGTCGAGTGGAAAATGTGTTTGTGCTGAATAACTGTAGGCATGCATCCTTCAATTTGAGCTACAGCCTACATGTTTAATTTTAATATAGCACATCTGGCACTGTGGCACTAAAGAGCTAAAGCTTATTCATTCTGCATCTTGCATGCTTGAATTTATACATTTAGGTTTGATTCTTGCACCGGTGACAGCTTACTAATGAGACGTTGATACGTCTCTGCGTTTCTGAAAATGATATATGTATAGGTGCACTACAGCAAACAAAAACACTATGTGCTCCCTGTCCTGGGTATTAATGTCACAGAAAGTGGAGCTGAATCAGGGAAAATCACCAAGAAAACCACTTAGCCATTTGTTTTGAGCTCAGCGTGGCATGCAGGTCAAAGGTCAGGCTACATTCTGGACAACTCTGCAGGTCAATCACTGTGGGACTGATACAGTCATATCTTGTGGGTTTGTGTGTGTGTAAGAGAGCAAGAGAGTTAGAAGACTGTTATACTGTTGGCAGGTCAGACGTAATCAAACAAATGTATTTTGTCAGCTCTATGAAGATCCTCCCTGGCAAAAAGAACATCTCTGACCCTTTTCTGCCTCCCTGCAGCTTCAACAGGCAGAGCTCCTCAGACATCATCTGATCAGCTGACAGGCGTCTGTCTTCCGTTTTGCAAAACTATGAACGTTTTTTACAACAAGAAAAGCAAAAACAAATTGTTTTAATTAAAATACTGATGAGTTTCAAATAGTACTTTTTTAAGATTCAGAGCGATTTCAGTTCAGGAACATTTTAAATGCAGTTTCAGTTTTCTAACCCTCACGTGTGTAAATGTGTGTAAGATGGTAGCAGGCAAGGTTTTTAAGGCTACTGGTAAATGATCCCACTCTAGTGTCCAGTGTTTTCATTACTCACAGCAGTAAAAACCACAGTTTCTTCCTCTCATAAGAAGAAGAGCTCACTGAGGTTGTGGCCCGCCACACCATATTTGTGTCAAAGTAGAACCCTGCTATGGTTTCTTGGTGGATGAACTGTGTTCTGATGTAAACCAGCTGTTAGCTGAGTGGAACAGAGGAGGCCTTATAGGAAAGGCTGCTGTTCTTCTTCATATGTGGGAAAAGTTGATTTAACTCTTTGTTGAAGCACGTAGGTCAAGCCGCCCCCAAATCTCCTCCACTTTATGTTACATGTTTCACAAAAGATATTTATTGTTATGTTGCCGTACCAACTTTAATTATAAAGCACTTAAACAACCATAGGACCAAAGTGCTGCAGTCACAGTCAATAAAACATACAACAGTCACAGTGCACAATAAAAGCATAATCTGAAAATTAAAACTATATAATAAAACAAAAAAACCCACATAAAACAAATTAAAGTAATCTCAAAACAAACTGAAGGTCAGCATCTCAGACGGTGCCAAAAACCAAAGAGAAAAGATGAGTTTTTAAGTAAAGTTTTAAAAGCTGACAGGGAAGTGGCCTGTCGGTCCAGAGGCAGGTTGTTCCACATTTCAGGAGCAGCAGTGCAGAAAGTCAGGTAGAGTGGGGCAAGACCGTTTAATGCTTTAAAAACATATAAAAGTTAGATCAATATTGGGCGCATCCGTTTTATTTTCAGTGTGTTTTACAATTTCTTAAAATTTTGAACTTCCTGGAATACATCAGCTGTGAAAAACACAAACATCACATTAGTGTAAAACAGTAAAATCATGAGTTGATGCGTTTCCATCAGTGCTGTTTGTTTTTTTTCTGTAGTTCTTTCTGCAGTCTGTTTAAAATTAGTTGTAATACAAACCCTTTTATTATAGTGCTGTTATAAAGAGTCTAAAAAGTCAAAACAATAAAGGTTGTATTCCTTAAGTATGTTGTTGAAGAAGAAAACTGTACTATAAATAGTGCAAAAATATTCAAAATCTTGCTGAAGTTTGTAACTGTGGTTAAAGTCAAAAACGTGTTTTCGTATTTTTTTTGCCTAATTTGCTTAAATCTTAAGATATGTCTTCTACAAATATGTGCAAAAAGCTTTTAGTTTAGAACCAAAATAAACCACAAACAAACTTCTTCTTTTTATTATGTGGACATTTTTTTGTTACAAGCATCACACATAGTTCTGTATTTTTTGAAGCACATCTATAACCTGTTCTTTATTAGTTTCCTTTTATTAAGTGGGCAGTATTCTCTGACTTGTTGTGTTTTTATTTTTTTTTTATTAATATTAACCATTTTAAGATGGAAAACACATTTTCATCGCAAAAACCAGAATCATTAGAATTTAAAACAGCACATTTAGAAATCTGAAGTGAGTTTAAGTTACAGTAAGAGGCAAACAATCCTTTCAATATGAAACACTGAACGATGGGATTATTGTTGAGCTTTCGGTTCGCTGTTCTCTCTAAGAGTGTAAACTGTCCTTTAATTTTATGTGTATTGGACTTATTTTAGGATTATCTGATCATTTTCCATGTAGTGTATTTTAATTTTTAACTATAGAGCTCAAACATTCTGTCATTCTAAGAATTTTTTATTTCACATACAAAAAAAAGAAAAATCATTCTTGAATCTTTTACTGCAGCGCTTCACGTCCATTCTCTCAAACCATCAGGTTCTACCCAGCAGTACTTTTCGATGCCGTGACCTCAACGCTGTTTTTATTTTCAGGAAGTCAACCTTTTTCAACGTGCTGACAAAGAGTCAGGCCGCAGCTGAAAATTTCCCCTTCTGCACCATTGACCCAAATGAAAGCAGAGTGCCCATTCCAGATGAACGCTATGATTTCCTCTGCCAATTCCACAAACCTGCCAGGTATGGGGTCTCATCCTTCACTCATTATTCTCCCCTTCACATCTGTAGGTGCTCCTGCTGTATGAGAAATCACACAACAATGCTGTTGTCATGTAGCTCTAGATGTTTTGTATGGAGTCCAATTGATGCTCTATTCTTCTTTTTTCACAGTAAAAAAAAAAAACCTCTAGGTGATAATACATGTTTTATAGAGGCTGTTTAAGCAGCAGGAATTCAGTTTTGATGCACTAAACATTATAGCTGATCCAAAGTACGAGTCAAACATGTAAAAAAATGGTTTTACCACACAAATAAATACCTTTGTGGAATAAAATGCTCCTCTTCACTGCTTGTCTGCTTCCTGTCATCTTCTAACAAGATTATAACATTGCCAGTATTTTACACATCTGTAAACACAAATCAGGAGCTGTTTTATTAGGAATTACCCAAGCAGTTAAAGCTTCCCATGCCCTTCAATAATTGTCACTGATGTCCACTGCAGAATGAAAATGATTAAAACACACCAGTGAGCAATCTTACAGCTTGAGATTCTGGATCAGCAGCATGAAGCTGAAAATATTCACTAATAAATCCGGCTTAGTGAACATTTATCAGAGGTTAAACTGGATGTAAAGATGAAAAAGGATAAAACAAATATATTTTGTAAGTAAGTAAAGTTTTATTTATATAGCACCTTTCACAGAAATAACTTCACAAGGTGCTGTACATTCAGGGAAGGGGGGACAGTTAAGACAGGTCATGCAGCGAACACAGTTGCACTACCTTTAACAACAGATCAACAGAAAAACTAAAAACCACACAAGGGAAAATGAGGAAAAAAGCAAAAACATCATATTATATCAACACTGTGACACATTATGGTGTTTATGAAAAAAACCTCTGCATAGAGCAGATTTATTAGCCAGAGGARTAATTGAGATTAGGGGGCCCAAAGAATCCAGTCCCAAAGCCAGCGCAGCCAAAGTTCAGAATATTGATGGTAAATTGTTCATTCTGTGGGTTCTCAGCTTTCTCAGGAATCAGATCGTACGGGTGAGGGAGGAGGAGGGAGAGGGCAGAGCCGTGTCGACATCTTTCAGCCAGGAAGGATTTAGTCAACAGATCCAAGGTCGTTGCCGGGGAGATCCAGATTCTGTAATCAGTTGTTTTGGGAACAGAAAGGACAGGCAGATGATAAACAATTTTCCCTCTGCCTTAATGTCTGCTGGTTCATCTCAAGGTGGCAAATCCAATCAGGCAAAATGGGACAAATACCGCCGAGCTGATTCATCAGCTTTCTCACAGATGAATTCCATCTGGCCAGCAAAGTCCAGGGACCACAGCTGGCCCACAATTCTCAGTAGAACTGCTTGCAGACCAAGTCCAGCTCACTCAAGGCCAATGTTTGAGTGCTGATAGTATACGGCCACCCATCAAATTGGTCAGTCAGCCAGAAAGTGCAAAGCCACCGACGCTGTTTTGTAGAACACCAGGAGACCACCCAGCCAAAATGTAGAATCCGGTGATCAGAGTCCAAATGTATAGCCAGAACAGAGAAGAACAGAGGTCCCACCTTCGACATGTCCTCCCATGGAAGCAGAAAAATAAACTTTGTTCCAAAATTTTTTATTGAGAGATCAGCTAACCAAGTCCGTAAAAATAAAAATATCCATAATTTCTGGTTTCGGATTAAAAATGTAGAGAAGGCTCCAGCAGCAAAGCAGGAAAAGATAAGGAAGGGCAGGAGAYAAGGAAAAAGTGTCTTACTCCTCCGAGAGCGGAACAAAAAAATTRTTTTGGTTGATAAAACAAATATTAGGCAGATTTGTGTACAAATTATCACATTTACTTTTGTTGCAATTTAACTGAGTATATTCTTGGAGTTGATTCAGTTATTCTGTTGTGAAAAAGTCCTAAAACAAGAAACAGAACAATAAGTCGTTCTCTCCAAGCAGAAGGATCTCAAAATGCTGAAAATACCTTCCTAGTGAAGCACGGGGGTGGCAGTATCATGATGATGACTGTTGATAATAATACTATTAAAATTAAACATTTTATAAACAGTAATAAAATCAGATGATTTCTGCAAGAAAATCTGTTTAAGTWGGTAAGACAGTTTCTGTTTCAGCAATAAACCAATTTTCTGTTGCCCCAGTTACTGTAATAAAGCTTGGTCTGAGCTTTAATTTATATGTACTTTTACAAGTTTAGACCAAGGTTTAATACAGTAAATGGGATGTAAACAATAGGTACTACACAGTAGTGTGCAAGATTAAAAAACAAAACTGCCTGTCTCTTGTTTCAGAATAAAATGCATTTTCTATATTGGAAGTTTAGTTTTGTAGAATCATCTTTTAATGTTTTTATTTGAGTTATTTATTTATCATTTCTGTGACTCTGTTTTGTTAAAGAGCCTCATGTGTTTTGTTTGTTTGTTGCACACCTTATATTAATTTAGAGTCCAAAACCAGCAACGTTTGAAACTAGAAATCCACCCTTAAATTAACCATGCATCTTTCTGAGGCTTGAAATTTCTGCTGAGTTGAAATACTGAATAAAAAAAAACATTTTCTTTTCCTTTCTTTTTACTGAATTGATTTRCAGTAAAATCCCAGCATTCCTTAATGTTGTTGACATTGCTGGCCTGGTGAAAGGTGCTCATGCCGGCCAAGGTTTGGGAAATGCCTTTCTGTCCCACATCAGCGCCTGCGATGGCATCTTCCACATGACACGTGAGTCACAATGTGCTTCAGTATCCAAACTTTTATTATATCTGGGGGTATATACAGTACTTTACAAAGTATATGAAGGACTGCATATTTTAAATAAACACTAAAGTTGTTTATTTGGGCCTGATGAACAGAAATTTAAGTTTTACTGGGTTTTTCATTGCTGTTGCTGATATCATTCAATTCAACCAAACCTCATAATTTTTCAAGAACAATTAGACTTAAACATCTCTAACTCAATATTTTTTCTTTAGGCTTTGAAATTTAATGTATCTGAGAGGAACTGTATATTGATATTTCAGCATTAAAGTAAAACGGTAAACATAAAAGTGAGGTAAAAAAACAAGACTTATTGTCATTTTCCCAGTACTTTAGCTTACATTTATTTTTAACATTTCCTCATAATAATCTTCATTCACATTGTTTATCACTTTAATGCCACTCAGTGAGACAACCTTCAGCTAATTCTTCTCAGTTTTTCCTCCAGTCCTTCTGTGCCTTTCCCATGCTCCTTGTGTTGCACAATTAAAGTGTTACACGCTAGAATAATTCAAGCTACTGCAACTAAAATGAATTCAGAAAGCCCTTGATAAGAAAGCTGAATTGGTTTGCTGATTGTACGCATGTATTGACTTTGTCACTGAGAGAAAAGGAGCTCAGATTTAGAGCAAACAAATGAAAAAGTTTAAGATGCAGAAGCTCTTTTATTTTATTGCTCTTAAGTTCATCCTAAACATATCACATCTGTTATAGTGCAATGTTGATATAATTTTTATCTGTGGATTTTTAAGTTAAAGACCACTAAGAGATGTTTCCAGGCAGATAAAATATAATGTTTGCTGATATTAAATTTTGTTATTTGACTTTTTCTAATAAAAGTCACACATTTGGAGTGATTATTTTATAATTTATTGTCCACAGATGCTCCAAACAATCATTAGACTTACCATTTRACTTTTTGTTGTTCACATGTAATCTTTTATTTATGACAGCTCATAATGTGTGTGATAGTCTATACATTAGTATGATATATAGGTTTTTAGTATTTTTATACATCCTTGTGGTCAACAGGCCCCATAATGCCTTTGACTGTGGGCCTAATGTATATACCATAATCCTCACCAAAAACCAACTCTTTTGTTTTTAAGCACTTAAGAAGACAAACATACCAATCTTCTCTATGTGTGTTTGCAAGAGTGTGTGTGTGTGAGTATCTCCTCTGGCATGCTATTGTTYCCGCCCTTGTGAAGTTCTTAGACACTATGTGGTTTGTTTCACAAGTTAGCCATTCGAGCTGCTTTTGTTTTGTAATTATATCTGTCTACGAGTGCAACGCTCAAGTCACTTATTTTATATAGTTTGATTATATGCTTGCGAGCACGTTTTTGTGTCTTGAGACGTATATTTCTTTTCGTCGGAGGGTGGTGGCGGTGGCGGGGTGTCAGCTCAAGTGTTTGTATTCTATATAGAGAGAGTTTCATTAACAACTCACGGCTGTGATTACTGCTGCAAACTCAAAACAACTCAAGGGACTTGAATTTGATCGAATTAAGTCAAGGAATCTTAACAGCTTTGTCAGAAATTATTTTAAATGTTTTTATTTGTGGGGTTACAAACGCACACTAAGAACTCAAAAGGGTGTTTGTTATTAAAAAAAAGTACTTTACTCTAGTAAAGGTATGTATTTTAAACTCATACTTTACCTTCAAAAGGACTGTTCTGCACCTCAATTAACAACAGATGAAGCCGTACATTCTGGTACAAAACAGTTTTCACAAAGGAATAAAATAAAAACAAAAACATGCTAACTAATCAGAAAAGGCCCCTGCCAAGATTCAAATTAGGAACTACTTTGTTGTGGGACAGATCAGAGTATTAAACTATTATTCAACCTGTTCCTGTCAATCAAGAGATTAGTTCATCCACACCTTAAGGTTACCACAGGTGCATCTTACTTTTTCATCCCAGAGAATATTTTGCACATTTAAAACATTTTACCCTTCCCTGAGAAGTGTTTTGTTTTTTTAATGTAACTTTAGAGCTAAAAATAAACTGGATTTCCCCCTTGAATTTTGCCCTGTGCATTATGAATGCTATTAAGATATATAGTATATTTTTAAATATGTGATGACAAGAAAGTTGATGAGGTTTCCTGGTTTCATAGCAAAAAAAAACAAAAAAAGGTTCGCAGGCAAAATCTTCCCAGTGTCTCTGGACTCAGTTGGAAGTTAACAGTCTGAGACGAGACACAAACACGTTCTACTTCATCTGCTCCTCTGTTTCCCTGCGCTCGTCTCTGCCAGCTCACCTGGCCTTAGTCCCAGATGTTTTGGTTTCCAGCAATTAGATGTTTGAATGCTCACACAGAGCCCCCCCCCCCCCACACACACACACACACACTACAAAATAACTAGAGGAAGTCTCTAGGTCATTGTGATCGAGGACGTATTCACAGTCGCGTGGCGTTTTGTTGGTTTAAACTTGCACCACGATGCTAAATCTCAAAGGAATTTCTCTGTTGTTGTTTTCTGCAGGTTAAAGTGTAAATGACACATTTAGGGAAATAGATGATCAGGTTTATGAACTGTGATCTGAAGAGATGAAACATTTCATAATTTGGGTCATAATCTGTGGGTTATTGTCTGCATTCAGCAACTCCCTTAGTTTTTAAAAAGTTATTTTTCATCTCCTGCTTTTGGCTCCTCCACCTCCTTCTGCACCATGATTTATGACAAGGTGCTGTTTTTTTTAGTTTGCATCATTTTAATAAATAATTGTTTAAGGTTCTGTTTAAACAAATACAATTTGCATTTGTCTTTATGTTTAAGCTTAAAACATTTAGTTTTGAACTTCTAGTTACTGAAACCTCGAATCTTACATTTTTTAACCATTTAAATCCGATTGTTAGTTATTTAAGTATCAATAAAGCATCATTATAAAAAAACACCCACTTTGACTTAGTTCAGACATGAAGTTTAAATGTTATTATAAAAACTGGTTACTTTATTTAATTTCTGTAAAAAGTATATCTTAAGCATTTTGTGATAAATTACTGTGTTTTCAGCTTTTGTTTATGCATCTGTAGCAATGTGTCCATCAAAAATATACAGCTGGATATTTTGGACAAGTGATTTAATGAATCTTGCAACTAGATGTGCCAAATATCCACAAGGGTTTATCATGCCACTTTTATTAGATTAAACACATACAAGAAATGTGATTTGTTTAAAATATTTATGTATTAGTTTTAAATTTAGAATACAACCTGCTGGATGACTGATCAATCATGCTCAGCAGTGAAATAAATAATTGTAGCTTTCTTGACAGCAGCCTGCAGACCGACTGTGAGCTACAACTTTCATTCAGGGGAATCCTCCTTTCTGCTTCACAGGCTTAGATTTACCTCAAAAATGCCTCGTAAATTTTCAGGAATTGCAAAGTATGTGTGAAGGCTGCAGAACCTTTAAATGTGTTTTTTTTATTATATTAATAAGAATTATAACTCAATAATTGAATCGAGTTTTTTTTTCAACAAATACCTGGAAAAAAACACCTTTTTGAAGGTTGTTTTGTCAGTGTTCTCACAGAATTTCTTATGAGTCACGCTAAGAATGAATGTCACATTTATGACGTCATTCAGATGTCACTGTACAGATCTCTAAGCAAGATTCAAAATTAAAAAAGAATTCAGATTATTATTTTTTTTACCTCGAGCATGTAAGGGTTCACCCCAAGGGGGAGTAAACATTTCCACCTGTCTTTGACCCTCAGAAGACCTCCCTCAAAAGAGGCATTTTATTTTCTTTAATAAAAAAAATGTTCTTTATATTTTTGATTTATATTTTCTTTTAACTACCAGTTATTATCATTTTATAAATCAAAGTTACATAATGAAAAGAATGACAACCTATCTTCTTGCATTATAATTAAGAAAAAAGAAAAAATCACACAAAAAGAATATTGTTCCAATGTTTCTTCATTTGTTTGACACAAATCTTTGTTTTAATCAACTGTTATTTACGGTAAGGTGATTGTGTTTTTCTGTTTTATTTTTCTATTTATCTAAATTGATCATTATGGTTTAGTCACTATGTTTTATTATGAAATATGTGTATTTGTGCTTGAATCATAGACAAATATCTTAAGTTTTATTTTAGTTTAAATGAGTCACTTTTATTTCATAAAAACCTAGTTCACTGTCACTCAGTAGTAATCCTGTCAAGGTTCAAACGTGTTTTTGTGCAGGTGCAGATGTCCCTAAACTTCCAATTCTGCCTGTTAAGTAACACAAAACTCTCAAAACAACCCTGAAAAAACCCATGTTTTTGAACATTGGTTTGTCAGTCTTCTCACAGAATTTCTTATGAGTCACGCTAGGAGTGAATGTCACATTGATGACRTCATTCAGATGTCACTGTACAGATCTTTAAGCAAGATTCAAAATAAAAAAAAGATTTCAGTTTTTTTTTTTTTACCTCGAGCATTACGAGCAAACAGGATTGATGATTCAGACAGAGGTGATTTATTGCTGACCTGCCTCCAGACTGACGCCAGTAATGGCTGCTCTCCGGGCATTCTGCCTCATCTCTCATCAACTCACAAATTCTCCAACTTGACAAACATCCAGGACAGCTCACCTCACTCCGCCTGTTGTGCTCAGCGGGTGAGTTCATGTCAACTGCTGTTTCACACTGTAGACAGTAAATATTGGCTTAGGGAGACATTCTTTTGTTTTACTTAATGACAAGTACGATTGTACTGTACTAGTGTAAACTTGGCTCTGACAATGAAAGGCCAAGTGTCAGTATGAATCTAGTTTGGTGCAGCCATTATTCAGCTGATATTTGTTTTATAATTAAAGAAAATTTAAGCTTCACTTTGTCAACCAGAGCTCACCAAAGATCAAATAAATAAGTGCCAAGAGTTATTTATAACTCCTACTATCCTCAGACACGTTGCATCCAGGTAAGGTTGAGCAAATCCAAAATTCATTTAAACTTGGT